ATATATATCATTAGGTTATTTTCTGTCTATTTTTCTGAGGAATTAAATGAACCTATAACCATACAGTTGCCTAGCAATGCAGACACAGAACCACAGTACATGCACCACTTCTTGGTATTAAAAAAAAAGAAGTGTATTAGGAAAGAAGTGGCAACAACAAGCTTGTACACAGTTATGAGTGAAGGTTGATTACCACTGCTTTCAGGAATAAGCTTGGTGCCATTTGGCCCAGGAGGATTCATCAGTGAAGGAACATAAGCATCTGTCCTGGTTTTGCTGGGATAGAATGATAGAATTGGTTTCCTCTTCAGGAAAACTGTATTTCTGCAAAGACTACAACACATGATTTCATGGAAACAAAGTTGATAAGACACTTTTAGTTTTTGGCCAGCACTGGTATGTGATGATCACGGTCTTTAGCAGTTTTGAGTTAAACAGGTGCAGAAGCTGGGGAGATCAAAAGCCAGGGCAGTTGACCCCAAGCTGGCCAACGAATATTATTCCATACTATAAATGTCATGCTCATTATAAACTGGGCATTTTGCTGGGTATGACTCTCTTTCCTTGATGACTGCTGTCTCAGGAGGGTCTTGCCCATCATTCTGCTTCCAAGACCTACTCCCCAGCTCATTGTAACCATCAGAGCTTGCAACCATTATATTGACTGAGTAAAATTCTGTATGCTTTATATTAATATTGCTATTAATATCAGGTTTTTATTATTTTATTAAATCTGTTCATCTTTCAACCCACGGGCCTCCTTTCCTTTTTCCAATTCCCCTTCCTTCATTGGGTGATGTCTAAATGATGACAGCATCTAATGTGCAAGCCACCAGCTTATCAAGAAGCAGTGAGGATACTAGCAGTAATAAGGACACTGAGGTTTAGAGTGATGTATCAGCTACGTTGGTTTCCTGTGCTTGACGTTTACTATTTAGGATGTCAGTGATGTGATGCAATGATGTGTATTGAGGTGTAGACTTGCCAAAAACAACCAGGGAACATATGAACTGCTGAGATCACATTGCTGAAATTAGTGGGTTTCTAAACACTAACCTCTTTCATGGCAATTCAAATTACATGGCAAATGAGGACTTCAAGACACTGTGATCATGGCTGTAATTGCATCTGAGATGATATGTGGGTGAGGAAGATTCATCTTCCAGTGACTAAAGCGCTGCTGGTAACTCATGATCTGTGTATTAGATTGGCAGCACTGGTACATTGGGTCTTTGTGTGAAAGGGGGCTTGCAGGCTATAGCAATGTTGTGAAGGTGTGAAAATCATGAAGTCTAATTACTGCAGCTGTGATGAGCAGTAAGATAACAGAATAATGAGCAGCACATTCATTGTCTAAATCACTAGTAAAGGTTTGTACTTGTGGCACTGGAAGGAAGGAGGACACAAAGCAAGAAATGGCCAGGTGGGACATTCAAGGCAAGAAGTGAATAGGGTGACACTAATCGGTGGAGCTTGCACATATGCTTAGCACAGGAGTACCCAGTTAGCTGGCTAGAGAGTGAATAATAGCTGCATCAGAGAAAACGATGCACAGAAGCAACAGATTAGAGTGCATACAGCAGGGATCAGTAGCACATATTCTTTGTCATAATTTGTAGATATGCTGCATTTTTTCCTGTATGCTGTCTGATCACCCACACATAATTTACTTGGTGGCCCTATGTAAAGTGACCTGTGTCTGTGTGGCAGATTCTTTAAAGGCACACAGTTGTGTCAGACTGAGAGGCTGGTCCTTTGAAGAGATGGGATAAGAAATGCCTTCTGGGTCAGGCAGTAGAAGAGCAAAGGAGTGAGAAAAGTTGGTCTAGTACTTGGTAGGGTAGAAAAGATGAGAGATTTCTGAAAACTGTAGAGGGCATGAGGACGTTGCATGGGAGAATATTTCTATAATTAAAGGGTTTTGCAAAATCTGGCTAATTTGGCCTGTGCACACAGCTGGCTGCATCTGCTTTGGCACATGACTGGAGGAGCACATGCTAAGCCCTTCACAGCGATTCAGAAACTCAGCACAAAGAGCTTGTAAAATGCACCACTGTGGGAGAGGAGCTGAGGCTGCCAGCACAAAGAAGCTGTGAACTTTAAACCTCGCTTAAAAGCCTCTGTGGTCACCTGAAACACCTCACTCAAAGGCTTTCAAGGGAAAGACAGTTTCAAGTTGTCTTTAAAGCTCCTGACAACTCCACACTGTGCATTTGCAGGGGTTTACTTCAGCCAAGTAATTCACCATGGCCCATCAACCACAGCACTTACTGGCAGCTGCATGGCATCGGGTCCCTGAGGGGCACCCCCAGAGAGCACCTACAGGATAAGCATCAGCCAAAGCAAAGGCTCATTCACCCGTGGCTTCTCCATCACGTGGGGGCCAATTGCAGGTTAAAAAATGCACTCCAGATGCAAACTCAAGAGCTGACAAGGGCATACTCTGGAAGTGTGCTTCTGGACCTGCCCAAATTGCTTGCACCCAGCAAACAGCTCTGCACCCAGAGTCCCACTGGTCCATCTCTTGCCTCACCTGCAGGATCCACCTCCAAAGCTCTCTCCTAACGCACTGGAAAGGGATGGCAAAATGGTGATGAGAAGACGGAAATGAGGAAGCAGCTGAGGTGCCTTCCTTTCTCCCTCCCTTTCCTCTAGGGAGCATGAAGTTGGGTGGGAGGAAGGGCAGCCCCTGCACCCTCCTCCTCTGAAGGGAAGCTGAACCCCCATTTACCTCCTGCTTGGCGGATGCAAAATCTGGAGGATACCCTGAGGTGAAGCTCTATTGATGTGTATTACTTTGAACCAATGAATATTTCATTACTGGAGAGAGAGAGAATATGAATCAATAATTCAGGAGTAAGGAAAGGGGAAGGGCTGGGTTTGAACCACTGCAGCATTTCACGTTTTGAAACACTAAAACTCTGTGGTTTCTTCAAAAACCACCTTAATTATCTACACCTGCAATCTGTTCCATAAAGTCTTAAAGCCACTATACTCATCAGAGGAGCAATCATCCCTTACCCCAATACTCTGATCAATGAGCAACATTTAACACAACGTTACAAACCACAGACTTCCTTCTAGAGGTCTTCTCTGATCCAGCCTTCCTTTGGAGGCAGAGGAAGAGACAAGAGAGAGAAAATGGGGTTGGGGAACACTGGGAGAGGAATTAACAAACCAGAATTAATTGAACAATAAAAGTCATGAGGAGGGAGGCAATGTAGTTACGTGCAACAGTGATGCTATTTCTGTTCTAATTTCATTTTGAACTGAGCCTTGAAGAAAAAGAGAGATAAAGGATTGAAGAAAATGATAATATAAAGGCTTATTGATACAGAAAAAATAATTCTAGTTTTCCAGTGAAGCAAAACAGGTTGCTGCTTCTAGACCATTAAACTGAGATCTCAATTTCCAGCTACAAGTATCTGGAATTTCTGGAATTTCAAAGGTCTTACAAGAAACTCGTTTTGCCAAATCCGTACCTGTTTGCTTGGAAATACTGGTTCAAACTCTTTACTGCTCAAAAAAAATGTTTTGAAATGTTTAAAATATCTTGTTTCCAAAAGTATGTATTTCAACCCAAAATCTTCTGATATGGGGGTCAAAATGCTTTTATCAGAGTAAACATAAAGAGATGGTTTTCTAATGTGTAAAGTGGTGGTATCAAAATGAAACATTTTACCTCATCACTCGATTCTTTTTTTAAATATGCATTGAAGATATTTTTTGTATTGCTTGTTTTTCTCCTCACAAATCGCACAAAATGCTCTCTCCCTTTGTTGTAATCTGTGCAAGAAGAGCAACAGGCTGTGTTACTTGAAGCAATAGAACACTAGATTGATGCACATTTATCCTGTACCACAGGGAGAAAACTTTTTTGTTATTTTGATTTTAAAGACAAAACTTAATTTCGCCCATATGTAAAACAGCACTACCAACTTCTGCAACTCCTTTCTAAAATGTGCATCACTGTGAGTGCTCATTTGTTCAGTAAGAAGCAGACAAAAGGCTGGAATAGCTCCTCAGATTTAAAAAAAAAATAAAATTATGTCCTGAGGTTTATTTTGGTCAATGCAGACTACAGAAGTACAAGCATAAGGAGGTTAACTTTAAGCTGACAGGGGAGGGTTAATCATTAAATAATTAAGTTTGCAATTAAAATCTTGACAAAATCTCTAATAACTTCAGCAGCATTTAGATTTCATCCCAGCTGCCTTCACAGGAGATTTATTTCTTTTTACAGTGAAATAAAAGACAAAGGAAAAAAGGACATTAAATAGTTCAATATTTGGTACAGCTAGGATCAAGCTGTCACACTTAGACACTAACCTAGAGCTACTCCAACACCATATTTTATCCACACCTCATGGAAAACCTGGGGGCCCTTAGCAGGTGTCCCACCCAGCAGCCCCGTCCACATCCCTTGTGCATCAGCTTGAAACATTTTCGTGTACATGGGCAGTAACACCCAGAGGTGACTTTTTATGCAGCTCCACTCACAAAATCAATGGTTGGTTGAGGAGGAACTGATCTAATTTTAGCTATCTTCGATGTAGATGCGGGTATAGACTAGGACCCGCATCCAGGCTAGGGCTGACGTGGCCATCTCAGCTGATCACTTCACATCCCTTTTTAAGCAACGGAGAGAAAAAGGCACTTTAAAGGTGCAGCCCATTGGACCCGATTGCAATGCCAGCCAGGCTGAACCATATCAAGTCGTGCTCACAAGAAACCAGATGCAAGCTCTGATGCTTAGAGAAATCTTACCTTGTCTGTCTGTCTGAACTGTCTTTAAACTGAAAGAAAATAAATCCACAAAACCTTAAGTGTTTCCTGAGGCCTTTCTAGCATTTCTAGCATCCTTGACTGACCAGTCACAGCATGGCTGCCCTCAAGACTGGGAGAACTGGTACACCCTGAGGGTCATACCTGCCCCTGTGGCTCACCTGCAGTTGTGTGTTTGCTTCTTTTAATGCTTCTTCAGTTACTTTCCTTTGCAGATTCATTCACAGGACTCATAAACATACTGACGGACATAATTTGGCGCTACACTGGAGATTTCATGGCTCCTGATATCATCTGCAGAGTCGTTCGCTACTTCCAGGTATAGAAACCTCATGCTCCCCTGTATGCCTTAGCTCGCATGGCTTTGTGTTCCCACAGCAATAAACCCTAACAAAAATGCTGTATAGACATTTTTGTAGCATCAGAAGTGCTAAATGTGCTAAAAGTGCACATTTAAAGTTGAAACACTTTTAATTAAAGCATATTAAATGTTTAAAATTTTGTGGAGAAGGTAAAGGAAAAAGATCGGTGAAAATACATGGATTTTTTTTTTTCCTTTTTTTCAGTAAAGGTTTTCAAAAATTCTTAGTTCAGTGTTCTGGGTGACAATATTTTCTGCCATAAATATGTCTCAACTTCTGCCTTATATACCTTCTGCCCCAGGTAGTCCTTCTATATGCCTCGACTTACGTCCTCGTATCACTAAGCATAGACCGGTATCATGCCATAGTTTACCCAATGAAGTTCTTGCAAGGAGGTAGGAGAACTTCTGTGCCTTGCTATTGCTGTGGATATTATTGGATAGTTTTTAATTTTCAAAAGTCTTAACCTTGTTGCCA